ATTCAACCAATTGAACCCTCTTGTTTTTCTCAAGTAGTAAAAGGTATGAAGTGGCAGCAGACCATGTCAGATGAGTTTAATTCACTTTTAGCAAATAATATTTGGGTTCTTGTTCCTTTTCAACTTCAAATGAACTTAGTTGGTTGTAAATGGGTTTATCGTATTAAATATAATTTGGATGGGTCAGTAGAGCGATACAAGGCATGACTTGTAGCATATGAATTTCATCAGCAGCCTGGCATTGATTATCATGACTTTTAGTCATCTAATCCGTGCTACCACTATTCATATTGTCCTCTCTCTTGCTATTTCTTTTTCTTGGCCTATTTGTCAACTTGATGTTAAAAATGCTTTTCTGTATGGTGCTTAATGAGGAAGTCTTTATGAAGCAACCTCCAGGTTTTACTCATCCTGATTATCCTCGTCATGTTTGTAAGCTAACCAAAGCGCTCTATGGTTTGAAGCTGGCACCACGTGCTTGGTTTCATCGCTTTAGTTCATTTCTTCTGGCTCATAATTTTATTTACAGCAAGTCAGATACTTCCATGTTTATTCACCATTCATCATTTGATATTCTTATTTTATTACTTTATGTTGATGACATTATTCTTACTGGTAGTCATTCTTCTCTTGTTGATCACTTCATTAGTCGTTCTCTAGATAATTTGCCATAAAAGAATTAGGTGATCTTCACTACTTTCTTGGTGCTAAGGCAGTTTGTTCTTCTAATGGTCTTCATCTGTCACAACAAAAGTATATTTCTGATTTGCTTCTTATATTTCACATGTATACATGCAAACCGGTTCGCACCCCTATTGCTTCTCGCACTTCTCTTTCTATTACGGATAGTGAGTTACTTTCAGATCCTAGTGAATATAGGAGTATGGTTGGCGCTCTTCAATACTTAACTATGACTCGTCCAGATATTGCCTATGTTGTTAACATTGTTTCACAATTGCATGCTCCACATATTACTCATCTGCATTGTGTGAAGCACATTTTTCAGGTATTTATAGGGTACCATCATATATGGATTGTTCTTGTGTGCCTCCTCATCCACCTTTTTGATTGTAGCCTATTCAGATATTGATTGGGCTGGTTGTCTTGATTGTCGACGCTTTACCATAAGTTTTGCGGTATCTTTGGCTCTAATCTTATCTCATGGCATCCAAAGAAGCAACCAACAGTCACTAAATCTTCTACAGAGGCTGAGTACAGAGCTATCGCCTATACTGTTGCTGAGAGATCTTGGATTCGTAATATTCTTCGTGACATCGGGCTCTATCTCCGTAACTCCGTTCATGTTCTTTGTGATAATGTGAGCTCTACATATATGTCTCGTAGCCCTGTGTTTCATGACCGCTCCAACACATTGATATTGATTTTCATTGTGTTCGTGAAAAAGTTGCTCAAAGGGATCTTGTTGTTCGATATGTGCGAATTCGGCTACAATTTTCTGATATTTTCACAAAGGGTTTACTTTCATTTCAATTCAGCTTCTTACATGACAATCTGTTTATCATGTCTGCCAGTCCAGATGGAGGGGGTGTATTAGGACTCTAAGGATTTATCTAATATTTGTAATCATCCCATATATATGATGGACTCTTAATGCTTATCTTTGTAGGTGATATACTCATCATTATGTATGTATCTATCCATATCATATAAATATATACAAGCAATACTAGCTCTCTATTTGTTGAGCCATTTAATGAAATCGATCAAGTCTATTTTTTTCTTTTCTTGATTGCTTATAACTTCTCTTGATGCATTCATGAATTACGATATTTTTATGTCCCATCACTAAGGGAAAAAATTGATTGGACATGTGGCATATATTTTTAATCGTATATTTTGACTTGATATCGTAACCAAACAAATTAAATAACACTAAATATGAGCATACCCGAAAATCTTGAGATATATAGGTGATTGATATGCTCTCAAAAATCAAGATCATTTGTATCCAACTAAACTAAGTTACAGCAAAGACTTTTGGAAGTATAAGGAGATTGTAAATCCCAAAATGCAAACTTCATATATATTCTCACCGTGAAAACGACAAAATCTGAAGATATAGCAAGAAAAAAAATATTTCGGGACTGATAGATTAGAAATTGAACGTTTTCCAATGTCTCATTTTTCTTTTCAAAGAACTCTTTAAAATTTCAATCCAACCAAAGCATCTTCTGTAAAATATTTTTTATTTTATTTAATATTCAAAAGTCCTTTCCCATTTAGATTTTACAATAATCATGCTTAATTAAATGTATATATTTTTTCCTTCACCCTAAGATATGATAGTGACGTACGGATACAAGGGGCCTTAATGTCCGCTTCTTGCATGTTACCCTAACATGGTAGGCCCTGAAACTCTTAAACAGATTATACCTAAAACAGTTTGAATAAAGTCATAACTAATGATATAATAATAAGGGTTGCCGGGGCGTACGTAATATTTTTTTGTAAACGGTGTTAATATTTATAGAAGAGTGGAAAATAACTAATATTAATTACTATCATATTACCTAACAAGAAATAGCCTTAATTCATTAGTTTTATTGAGTCTTAAGAAAGAGGTTTGAGTTCAATTTTACCTGACTACAATCTTTTACAATAGAGGTTTTCTCAAATATTTGTCAAAAAAGATGATCAAGTTGAAGTTTGAACCTACCTCTTAGAGCAAAATTAGAGACTTAACCAGCAGCTAAGCAACAATATATGCCAAGTGATTACCGTACAGTATTACTCTATATATCTCATAAAAAATTTGTTGAAGCAGTACATGTCATCCGCCCCTGAAGGGTTGTGGTGAGATAATTATGATCTCTTCGTTCATAACCAAAATGTGTCGGGTTCGATTCCTAAGAAAGAAAAATTCTTGATGGAAAGAACTTCACTTTTAATAGATTCTACACAACGCGAATCCAGATAGTCAGGAATTCGATACACATATATCAGCCACATGGTAGGAAACCAACAAAAAAAATATAATAATAACAATAGATACAATGATTATAAAATCATTCTAACACGTAAACTATTACTTAATTAGTTAATTTTGTCTTATTAAGCAACCAAAATTGCATGATTTGTGGACTAACCACGTGTACTTTAAAAAAAACAAGAACTTCTGGACGGTTACCTGTGAGGTCTGAATTGACTTGCAATAGTTTGTTTGTTGGCGTTTTTGCATATGGACCTAATCCTAGAATTAAAAAAATGAACAACCGACAACTACTTCTAGGTTTTCATCTCAAGTGTTTAGTCATATCTGATGCCTCATATCTACTGCAAAAAAATATGGTAGGCGCATTATATTATTGTTTTGCCATTTTTGTACCCAATTTTGTTTTAGGACGCTAGGTAGAATTAGAGGAAAGTAAAGCTCATGAATAACAGAATAAAGCACTTTTAGGTAAGTGATTAATTAATGATATTTTGGAAGGAGAAAGATAATGGAGAATTAGTAGTTTCTGAACTCATCAGGTAGAAATTTTACACCTTAGTTTATACCTCCCACCCCATCAATCTTACTAATAACGTTAGTTTGATTGGATATAAAATTTAAATAAAAAAACAAAAGAGAAAGAATTATAATTGGAATTTGTAATTTTTGTATTCTTAAACATGTAATGAGATTTCAAATATATTATTCTTTCTGAAATAAATTAATAAGAAAATTGTATCATGCAAAAGCGGCGGAGGAAGTAAAAGTTATGAATACATTAAGAAGAATCGAACCCTTTGTGCTGCGCACAACATGTCAACAACCCAATAAAAGAATACGTAGTATATTAATCTAGTCGTCGAAGGTCTATTTACATAACTCGGGCATTCTAATAATTTGTATACAAATAATACTAATAATTAGACATAAGTGGAAGGGGAGAACAACGATAAAGTTATTTTCGCGTGACCTATACGTTACAAATTTTGAGTCGTGTAATCAATCACATATACTTGCTTTTATGATAGGTTATACCTACATCACACCATCTTGAGATACAATATTTTTTTGAATTCTACATGAACAGAATACTTCGTGCAACGGGTTCTATGAGGTGAAAAGAAAAACGAAGATGTTCTATGTGGCAAAAAAAAATTGAGGAGGGGATCTCAAAGCTTCATTAATGCATGACCCAAGTGGACGCTAAAAGCAAGCAGAACCAAGGCTCCAATATTTAGAATAGTTTCATCGTTCTGTACGTTGATTTTCTTCTTCTATTGAAGTTGTTTCTTAAACTGTTACCTAGGTCCTTTTTAACAACGTTTGACTATAATTACAGCACGACTATCCTTACATTTCTTCTAGTGCAGAGAGACGACTTTCTAACATGAATAAGTTCACGCTACAGACAACGATAACAATAACAATACTAACCGTAGCATAATTCAAGGACTAGTTTATTTTAGGTAAACACTTTCATTCCAGTTTAACTTACATTGATAGTGTGGAAGATTTTTTTATACTATTAGGTGATACAAAATTAATTACCGGTAAGTAGGTTATTTTGTCATAATAAGTTATATCAATAACCTGAAAAAATAAGGCAGTCAACATGTTAAATATATAACATTGTTAGTTTATATATGTTAAATCATGTCCGGTAATTAGTAAGCTTTTTATGCACTGTAGAGGTAGTTAGTTATGATTAAAAAGTTTGTTGAAGCAATTAAGCATCCAACTTTCTTAGATGTCACTTGTCACCTACCTGAATGGCGCAAATTTTAGGGGAATGAGAGGAAAACAAATTAATTTATTTCGAAATGCATGTGCTATGCCAATCAATTTGAATTTCAAGTGGAACAAGGGCATGTGCGTTTTGGTAGTTGTTTTATGACCTAAAAACTAATGGTTCTAACAGTTTTCGACTACTCTCTCAAAATGTGAGCCCTGCTAAAGTTGTCACTTTCTACTATGTTTATATTTGTTTGCAATTGCCATATCTTATGCCTAAATTTCAGCTTCTATTTTTCTGTATAAATAGCTAGCTAGCTTTGTCCATAACCCTCAGCTCATATATCCTACCACTCTCTCATTCTCTTCTTACCTATATCAAAGGTTCCTCATTAATGGCTAATCTAGCAACATTCTCCATTATCTCACTTCTCTTCTTCTTTTTTAGCTTTTGCTTTCATGCAACTTTTGCTGATTATGGTGGCTGGCAAAATGCTCATGCCACTTTCTATGGTGGTGGTGATGCCTCTGGCACTATGGGTATGTCCAAAGTCATCTGCTTTTCATTTCTTCCTTTCTATGTTTTTTCCGTTAAAATCAAGTTTGACTATATAGAAATACAATCCTCATAGCATTAGTTAGCTTCAAATTTAACTCATATACATTGAAAATATACACAATTTTTACACTAGCTGTACATTTTCATTTATTTTACTAGGTAACATGCCTTATTTTCTAGGTTACCAAAGTTAGTACTCCCTCCATTTCAATTTAAACGACATACTTTCCTTATTGGTCCGTTCCAAAATGAATTACATGTTTCTGTATTTGAAAATAATATAACTTTAAACTTTTTTTTTGACTCACTTTATCCATAATGAGAAGCTATTATAGCCACACAAATGTCATGGCTCCACAAAAATTTTGCCCCTTAAGTTTTTAGGACCACATATTTTAAATTATTTTTTTTATTTCTTAAACTTTGTGTCAAGTCAAACTACATATCCAAATTGACGGAGAGAGTATATTTTATGTGACTTGATAGTGTAAAACTTGTTTTGCACTGTCAGTATAGAAGTTGATTAATTTATATACTACTAATTAGTAACTAAAAGTATTTATGATTGGCCAAATGCAGGGGGTGCTTGTGGATATGGAAATTTATATAGCCAAGGGTATGGAACCAACACTGCAGCACTAAGTACAGCACTATTCAACAATGGTTTAACATGTGGGGCTTGTTACGAGCTGACTTGCAACAACGATGGTCAATCGTGCCTCCAAGGGAGCATTATTGTGACTGCAACTAACTTCTGCCCTCCAAATCCATCCCTCCCTAACAACAATGGTGGTTGGTGCAATCCCCCTCTCCAACACTTCGATTTAGCTCAGCCTGCTTTCTTGCAAATTGCCAAATACAGAGCTGGAATCGTTCCTGTTTCTTTCCGAAGGTACGTGTTATAGTAGAAAACTTGCCTTATTTTCAAGATTACTAATCTCTTTTTTTATGGACAGTTATATGTAGTTACAACCCAATTTTGAAGAATTAACCTATATCGTCGTTCACCCAACCGCTTAAACTAAAAATAGTTGGCAAATGTATAATATATGTATAATCCACATATAGTATATATAACCATTAACCGTATCTAATCCATACTTGCTAGAAAAAATAAACAGTTAATAAAATTGGCTATTTATGTAAAGATGCCTTATATTTTAGGTGACCTAATTGTTAAACTCAAGTGAATAGAAGTTATTTGCTGATATAAGATACTTTGTTTTTGGTCTATTGCAGGGTGCCCTGCAGGAGAAAGGGGGGAGTAAGGTTTACAATAAATGGACACTCATTCTTCAACTTGGTTTTGGTGACAAATGTTGGGGGTGCCGGTGATGTTCAATCAGTTTCAATTAAAGGGTCTAATACTGGATGGCAAACAATGTCCAGAAATTGGGGCCAAAACTGGCAGAACAATGCTAATCTCAATGGCCAGAGTCTTTCATTTCAAGTCACCACTAGTGATGGAAGGACTCTCACTAGCAACAATGCTGCACCAGCAAATTGGCAATTTGGCCAAACTTTTGAAGGGGCTCAATTTTAATTAAGTAGTTTTTACTACTATAAACAAACTTAAGAAAAAAAGCAAAAGGAAAATAGAGGTTTTTTCAACTTCTAATTTGTATATGGCATTGAAAGGGTGAGTAGGTTTCGAAGAGGCTGGGGGAGTTTGGCGGTAAAACATCCGAAATTTTTTACCGAGTTTGGCTTTATTGCTGTGGTGGCTGGTTAGCACCCGCTTAGGCCTATAGTAGATATGATTGGATCTTGAGTTGAAATTTTTACAACTTATGTATTTTTATCCTTTTTTAGAGATATTATTAGTGGCCATTTATGGATTTGTAGGCCACTTAAATATCGCTAGATTTATCTGGGCCATTTTTATCTGTTAGTCCCTAATTCATTGTGTAAGCAGAATTGGGGCGACTTAATGTCACGTTATCCTTTTGTATAATCGCATTAGCAACTCTTCTTCTGCTACATTTTCTTTTATATTTGCCTTCCAACTGAATAATTTGCTTGGCATTAGGCAAATGACCAATACGATTAAGGAAAGACGATGTTACACTAATCCGTCTCTATTTCAACAAGATTGCTTGACGCCTTTCTTATAATCTATGAAACTACCAAAATGTCTTTATATTAAAACATAGTTTACGGCGATAAAATTAATGATGCTACTGAATTTACAACTTCAGTGATGAAATTTCCCAATATGTTGTCTAGGGATGTCAATGGTTATGTTTGCCTATTCCAAGAAATTTATATCAACCAACTTTTTCGGTTAATTTATTGTGTATGGCCAAAGTTAGGTTTTTCATACCATTCCAATGATCTCACTTTCTCTCCAACCTGTTAGTTTTAAGCACTTTTTTCCTAAAAAGTAATAATACTAATGTTACAACGATTCTCAATTGTTAACAATAGCAAACTTGGATACAACATTTTTGTAATTCTCCTGTTGAGAAACAATATATGAAATGAGCAACACTAACTTACAAATATACCCGCTTTCAAAAGTATTTATATGACTCTTCGTGTAGGTGCATTATCCTTTATTCCACAATCAATGTTCAATTTGTACATCATGTAAAAGCATAAGTTCTTGTTGCTAATATTCGGTTGAATAATATTTTTGCGGGTCAAAGTTCTTTGCTTCAGAACCATGTGTATTACGTTTCCCTTTCCTAATCTATACTTTTGCTGATTTTCAGGACACAGAAATTTAATTCTGAAGCAAAGTGTAATTAGCTTCTTGTTGACATTTCCTAATTAATCCAACCATATATTGTTATCATAATACAGTCTTCTTTAATTTGTATTATACAAAAGGCAACATAGCATCTCATATATTGCTATCATGTGTGAACCACCGAACGCGTCTGTTTCCATCAAAGTTAACAAGTTTGAGGGAAAGAACTCCCAGATGTCTACAAGATTTTGCACTATCAACTGCCACTAAGACAGAGTAGTCGGTGACAATTGCCCTCATTATCTTGTTTCTGACAATGCCAACTTAAAAGCTTAGAAACAGAAAAGATTTGCAGTCTCAAGAAAAATCAATAAAGGCTCAAGTCATTCATCCTCATCCCATGGCAGAGGAGAATCAGGAGAGACAACCAGAATGATGCAATGCGAGTTCCATCTTATTCATGGACCAACTCCAAACTAAGAGTTTTTCTTTTATGAAAATCAACATGCTCCTACTTCGTAAAAAGATTTTATAGTTCTTTGTCCTTGGTAATACTCCGGGGCAGCCTACTAATGCTCTCATCCACTATTCTGTAGTGCCTTGAGAATTGCCTGTGGATCTTCCCAGCATATCGATCCACGTGGTCTTCAAATTTATTATATAAGGCAGGCACAGTAATGAATATAATTGTTCCTGTGGGGAATTGCAAAGGCAAAAGTAGATACCATATAAGAATTGGAAGCAGACAGTGGTGTACGCAAATAAAATTCAAAATCATGGCAGATGTAAATTGTTGTTGAACTTTGTGAAATGTGATTTGAGTAAACCTATGCAAGCAGCAACATTCTTTGCAGAAAATGGGACCGACTAATGGAGAGCATGTTTATAGAGATGGTGTGGTACTACATCATCTGGATATGATCTTCAGAATTGTTTGCAGTGGATCAACAAATAAGGATGGACAATATCATCTGAATCACTGCACGGGACCTTCAGAATTGCTCACAGTGGATCAACAAATAAGGATGGACATGGAAACCAGTAAAAACAGCTGAATAGCGTAGTGCAATCATTCGACAAAGAAATGCACCTCCTTTCAAGTGTATTCATTCCATATTGTCACTTTTCACCCCAGTTAAATAATATTCAGATGTTTCATAGGGACACCAGATAAGTGCATAACACTTTTCAAGATTTATCATGCAATCTTGAGATATTCTTAGCAAACATGATAAATCTAAGCCTCAAAAGAACAAAAGTAACTAATCAATCAGCTGTGCATAAATCTCATACTACTATACTAGTTGGGGTAGACTATATGTCTTCTATGTCCAGTCCGGTCTATTCAAACCTATTTTATTTCAATACTAGTGACTAATTTATCCTTTAAGGCAAATCAAGGGTTCTCTAATCATCAAATTTATTCCTAGCGGATATAGAACGTAATGTAAATGTAAAAACAACTAAGCCTTAGTCTCTCATACGTGGTATTTCCATTTTTTAATGTTTTTTTAGAGAACGTCCGAACTAATCTTGAGAGATTATATGTGTGTCAAGGCAATTTTCTCCATGTGATTATTTTACAACTGAGAATCCGCATCTGGCACTTCTCTCCATGTGATTTTAAAAATACCTCATTCCCTTTTAGTGCCTCCAATCATCACATACATAAGACATGGCAAAACTATTTAAAGTGACTTCTGTCATTTTAACCCTCTATCAGTTAGTTGCACACTCTGACTAATTGTAAAAGTGTTCTCTAAAGTGACTTCTGTCACTCTGACTAATGGTAAAAGTGTTCTCTAAAGTTACTTCTGTCACTCTGACTAATGGTAAAAGTGTTCTCTATCCATGCAAAAACCTTTTTTGCCTTCGTCTAAAGGCCTAATTGAACAAACATCCATAACTATGGCTTGCATTGACTTTAGAGTTCAAAAGAGTAACAGTAAATGGTCAACATCTTCTTCTTAATTTTTGTATATGTAGAACCGACATATGCAGTTCTCTTCTTTTCCAAAAAAAAAAAATTCGCTTAAGAATCTCCTTTTCACAGCCGAGTGAAAAAGCATACATTCCTTGGGGCTCCAGGAAACCAAACTGATAGGGATAAGTATATTGCCTTCCTCTATTCAATAAAGTTCGGTTGAAGAATTTACCGAGAAAACTTTAGTCCTTTTCCCATTCATAGCCAATCATCCTGTTCCATCAATATTCTGCTTATAAAGTATGACCATTAAATTTGTGTTACTTCTTCATATATCATGCCATTCATAAAAGCCTGAACCTAGACATTTGAATTGTTTAGCTTTAGGCACCACAATCGGTCTAATCTCACTTCACCTTCATTCTTCTCATGGAAGCAAAATTTATTGCATACATTATGTCTTATTTCTACTTATCCTAAAATTATTATTCTCTAAAGTGCTTCCATAAATTTCAGCTTTTGGTTGACTCCCTCACTAGTTCTGTCAATTAATACAATTCATCCACAAATGGCATGCACCATAAAACCTCATTCTTTGAACTATTAGTTGGATCATCCATGACTAAGGAATACGAGTACAAGCTCAATAAAAAACCCTAATATAAACCCATGGATACAAGAAATACCTCTATATTTCCTACAACTCTTTTCAAACATGTAATCACTTCCTCATACATGTTCTTTAAGGTATTCATACTTCTATATGTATTTTGTTTTTCATCAAACATGCACCAAAGAACTTTTCTTACTCTATCATATGTCTTCTCTATGTAAATGAACATCATGTGAAAGTCACTCTTTCTCTCCATATAAATTCCCATCAATCTATTAGCAAATTAGAGTCTCTAAGTACGTAAGACCTCAAATACAGCAAGATATAAGCGATAATAGTGTAGGGAAAAATAAATTCAGGGAACACATATATCCATAATGATTCACCAAGATATACCAGTCAAGTAACAAAACCGGCACATACCTATATATGCAAGCGTGAAGAAAGATATTAGGCTTCCTATAACAGATAGAAGCCAGAGAATAATAACTACCTGCAAACATGTAAAATTTGGCTAACTCAGCTCTATGCGTTATCATTTGTCAAAATTATATCCTACAATTGTGCCCTAGAACAAAGCAAGAGGTAACATGTACCCTAGAAGAAAGTAAGAGGCAACACTTAACAGATGAAAACCACAAACATAAGTTAAACCATCAGCAGCTACTATGGGTAGATCTACAGCCAGGGCGCAACTACACACTGTGCCGAAAATTGCACTGTGCAAAAAGGGTAAAAGCAATTCTTTTATATAAATAAACTATTGAATCCCATTGACATTGGTTTATCTTAGGTGTGACATTATTACACTTTCTCTTTCTCATCATGCTTCCAGGTCGATTCTAGTTCTCTCTTGAGTTTCTGCATTTGCTTGAAACACTTAATTGACCAATTGAAGGTCATTGTTTATGTTTTTTGGAGGTTACAGTTTAATTTCTTTGCCATTGTCAGAGACAATTTACCACATTAATCATGCCCTCATGCTTTTGTTTTTCTTTTCCTTCTGGGATAAAGAATAGTGCCGTCATGCTTAATAAGCACTAACCTTGAAGAAGAGTTTGAAATCTTTGCCAAGAGTGATATCATGAGCCATGAGTAGCATATAATTGATTTTGACCCGAAATGATGCCGCAGCATTATTGACCATTTCTTCTGACAAGACTAACTCTGGTAATGTTGGGAGCTGTCTGTCGAAAATAGAAAAGAGAAATATCAGTTGAACTTAACCACAGGAGAACGAAAAACAGAAAGAGACAATCTAAACACATTAGTGAGATGAGTATGAGAATAATACTTCTTCCTGAAGGCAGCAACGTTTGCACGGAGAAAGAGGAGAACAATCAGAATCAGCAAGACATCAGAAGAAACTGATAAGAAAGGTAACTCTGAATACTCAAAGATGAGCCATGCGACTGTAGAAGCAATGATTATGCCAAAAGAGACACGCCTCCGCCTCCATAATATAACATCAGCAGCTTATACCAAGTGAAAAAACAAGTAAGTCTACAAGTCATCCAGCAGCAAGAATGAACTTGCAGAAGACTGAATTAACGAAAATGTAAAACACTCAACACTGACAGTGAGATAACTAATGGACTTATCAAGGAGGAAGTGGAGGAAGAAATGAAGGTAACAGATGTCGAGATTGTCGTGAAACATAACTAAGCCTTCATTAGAATGCCGGTTCATACAAATTCCCAAATCTATTCTTAGAGCACATCCCTC